TTTTATCATTTCTCCTTAAACTTTATCTGAGATTATTTGGTGTAGGTGTTAGGCAGATACATTTGCCAAAAGGCTATCAAGTTATCTAAACATTATTTATTGAAAAAGTATTTTATTCCCATTGATTTAAGTTTCAGATAAGAGGATTTCTCGTTTTGAACTCTTCTTGATGTGGTGCAACACTGTTTTGAATATTGTAAACTTAGAATATATGTTAACACCTGGTAGAGCAGGTCTTCCTTTATTGACATTTTTGGACTGTTTTTGAATAGTTATTATATCAAATAAGCTTTGAAAAAATCATTGGCATTGAAAATGGTCTTTGGGAATATTGATGGAAACTTGTTGGATTTAGAAATTACTTTATGAAGATTTGATAATTTTATGGTATTGAGTCTTCCTATTTGAGAACATAATTTTTACATGCCTTTATCTTTTTCAGTGGTTTTGATAGTTTTCTTCATATTCATCTTCTACTTCTTCTGTTAAGTTATTCCTAGATAATTTGACTTGGTATCTGTATGAATGGGATATTTTTCTTACTGTATATTTTGACTGATTCTTTTGATATAGTAAAGACCTACAGAGGTTTGAGCTGTTTTTGTTTCTTAATGGTTTATTCCTCTCCATGTTACTGAACTCTGTTTTTAATTAGTTCTACTCTACATTCTCTTGTGTTTTCTCTAACTAATGCTTTCTTGGTCTCCTGATCCCAATAGTATTATCTTTGATTTTGTTTTCATTTCTAATAGCTTTGGCAAGCAGTTTCAGAAATATTAAATAATAATGATAATAGTGGGTAGTCTTATTTGTTCTTTACTTTCACAGGAATTTTTTTACATTTGCCATTCAGCTTGATGTTTTGGGCCTATAATCATAATTTTTAGTCATGTTGTAGAGACAGTCTTGTAGTTTTACTTTTCAAAAGTTTAAAAATCAGATTATGAGTTAAATTTTACCAAGTGCTTTTTCAACATCTATTCACATAATCATGCTTTTTTCCTTTACGCATTAATAGAGTGATGGTGGTGGTGTGCTGTGGAGTTAGTTCTGGCTCACAGTGACCCTGCATAGGGTTTCCGAGGCTGTAAAAATGTACGGGAACAGAAAGCCTCATCTTTCTTCTGTGGAACTGACGCTGGTAATTTCAAACTGCGACCTTGAGGTTAGCAGCTCCAGTTGTAACCACTACTCTACTAGAATAAGATATAGCAATATATATTAAAATATTAAATATATTTTTGGACTCCTGGGGAAATTCCCGTATGGTCATAGTAAGCTGCTCTTTAAAGATACTGCTTGCTAGAATACAGAATCCTGGTTAACTAAGTGTAATGACTACTGGAAATATATATATGAGGTGAATCCTTTCAAAATGAGTCCTAAATTCCCTTTAAAAAAAGAAAGGAAAAGTGTTGAAAAACAATATGAAAAATCTTTATTTTATATTGAATTTTTTTTTTTAATTTTGTTGTTGCTAAGTGCCATTGAGTCAGTAGTGACACCGAGATTTTGTGTAGGGTTTCCTAGGATCACCTGGTGGGTTTGAACTGCTGACTTTGTGGCTCACAGTCTAGTTCTGATCCACAGCACTACACCAGAAGGAGGCACTAATTTTCAGAACAAAAATTCTTTCTAAGGTACAGTTTTATTAGAGCATAGTAATCCATCTTTCACCTTACTTTGGACATCTATAGTGTATGGTTTTAAATAGGATATTTTTAACAAGTGTCTGAGGCATGATTATCCATTTCCCCAAGGACCTCTCAATACCTTGATATTCACATTGCCCTCTCTTAAAGTGACTACGTCATTCTCTGTCTTTAATTTCTTGTATTGGGTTGTTAACTTACCTAACTCAGTCATTCATGTAGAGTGTGAAATCTAGCCATTCTCAAGCATCAGTTTCATAGACTGCATAAGCATTCTTTAGGCTGTGTGACATTTGCTTTCCTAGCAACTCTCTACTACACAACCTTCAGTAATGATGATGCCTGCATTTTATCTAAGATCTCTACATCAGATGTATCAGTGAGCTGGATGTAGAAGCAGACAGCTTCTTTTCCTGGGATCCATAATTAGAATTCAGATGGTATGGGAGCTTACAACCTATAACTGACTTGTTCTTCTTATGTTCTTCCATTTACAAACAAACTGCAGTAGTAGTTGTATTATGTATGATGTCAAAACAGAAATAGAAATATTTTCATATTACATTATAGTTTTTTACAGACATGTACAAATGTAATTTGCCCTCGCCACTACAAAATTATTATAGTGGCTAGACCTGCTGATTTTATGTATATGTATGTATGTATGTGTGTGTGTATGTATGTATGTATGTATACATACATACATACACACACACATATCCATAAACATATACATATAGATTCCTGGTGTGGTGCTGTGGGTTAATGCACTGAACTGCAACATCGGTTTGAACTGCAAGGTTCACAGTTCAAGCTCACCAGCTGCTCCTTGGAAACATCATACAGGGTTGCTATACTCTATATACATATGGAGTCATGGGTGTGTCACTTTAAGCATTGGACTACTTACCACAAGTTCAGTGGCTCAAACCTACTAGATGCTCTTCAGAAACACTATACAGGGTTGCTGTGAGTTGGGATTGATTTGATGGCACTTAACAACAACATATGTATATGTATGCTTCTTTGTAAACTAATTAAGTTTTCTCATTTAAAGCACATTTTGACAATTGATTTCCTTTGCAATTTTATATATTTTATTTTATAGATTGTTGTTGTTAAGTACCATGGAGTTGGTTCTGACTCATAGTGACCCTGCTCAGGGGGTTCCAAGGCTGTAAATCTTTACGGGAGCAGAAAGCCTCATCTTTATCCCGCGGAACAGCTGGTAGTTTCGAACTGCTGACCCTTGAGGTTCACAGCCCCATTCGTAACCACTACACTACCAGAGCTCCTTACTTTATAGATTACAAAGCTTTATTCTAAGAAGGAGCTTCACCAGACTTTTAAAGAGGCCCATAATGATACAAAAGATTAAGAACTCTAGATTTTCCTTTTTTTATCAATCTTAGGATGGATCTCATATCATTTGATTTTAGGATTTTCTCATATAGTTTCCTTTCACAATTTGGAATTCATCTTTCTCTTTTCTGGAACAGATTTAAATACTAACATCTGTGCCTTAAAGGCTCAAATCATTCACCTAGGAAACCATCTGGACCTGGAACTTTTCTGAGAGGCAGTTCTTGGAAAATGTTCTCAGTTTCTTCCACACACAAAAAAACTTCATTTTAATTTAATTTATGTGGCTCTTCTTTCGCTAATTTTGATAATTTGTGTCTTCATAGAAATCTTTCATTTCTTACAGATTTTAAATTTTACTAGTAAATTATACTTGCATTATTTCTTAAGGGTTTTTTTTGCACCTGTAATTAATTTTAAATCATTATTGGGGAAATAAACTTCATTTTGTTAATCGCACTCTGTATGTACTTTTGAAAAATCTTAAAAGTTCTACAGAAGTCATAATTAATTTCATCTTTAGGTGATTTATAGTTTTCAGAGTCCTTAGATTAGGATCCACTTTTTTAAAAATGGCACTTGGGTTAATGGCTGGTCTGCAAAGTCTATTTGATCCACAGGATCAGTGGTTCAAGCTCACCAGCCGCTCCTTGGAAACCCTATACGGGGTTGCTATGGGTCAGAACAGACTTGACAGCACTTAACAACAAAAACAACATTTTAGAAGTATGGGGTTAAGGGGTTAGAAAAGGAACTTTCTAGTTATTCCGGGTTAACACAGGAGCTGTGGTGTGATGCTCGTGGTGGGGCTCTTGCATTCTGTGCTGTGGACAGTTCCGTCCTTGAGTTTGTCAGCAAAGCAGGCACCAAGGGGAGTAATGAAAAACCCAGTGTAACCAGCCAGGAGTTTCTGCTCGTAGGTGCACCTGAGGTCCTCGATAATTGGCCAGGGGCTAGGAGACCATGAGGATTTCAAGTTTAGGAGCATTGGAACCTTTGAAATCTGTGTTTGGTGCAGGGGACACTGGCCCAAGATAGCCAAATATGAACAGTCAGTGGACATTGCAGAGGGTAAAATAGGTCTAACCACCCCCAAATTAGGAGCCATAATGTCACTAGAAGGAGCCCCAATAGTGCCCAGCTGCTAACTGAAACCCACCAGCTGTTCTGCAGGAGTAAGATTATGATGATCTGCTTCCATAAACATTATAGCTTTGGAAACCTTATGAGGCAGTTCCTGCCTGTCCTCTAGGGTCACTGTCAGTCCAGATCTACCCAACAGCAGTGAGAGGTTTAGATACGGGCACTAGAATAGCATGATGTCCTCGAATCTTTTGGAAAAAGAAGAAATAATTTGGGGAGGTTTGGGATTATCCAATTTTCTCATCCTTAAGGTGCAAATGTATTCATTACACATTATTCTTTCAATATGCAGCTACTCTTCAGAGAGACCGAATCTTCAAGCATTTTACCAGGAAGCGCCAGAGGGCTATGCGAAGAAGAGTCCACCAGGTGAATGGACACAAGTTCATGGCCACATACCTGAGGCAGCCCACTTACTGCTCACACTGCAGGGAGTTCATCTGGTAAGAAGCTTTCTTCCCTGGCTCTATGCGATTTCAGAAGCTAGTGTGGTTGTTAAACGTTATTTAGGATCTGATTTTTGCTCTATGTCCTAGTATGTTTACCCAGCAATTTAAATTCTTATTGCAAAGAAAACCAGACAAACAATAACAGCAGCAGCAAAACCAAGATGAAACCATTTATCAATGCAAGTTTTACATGTTGTTTCCCTACCAGTCATTTTGGTAAAGTTGCTAACGAGTCATTAACTGGTAAAACCACAACAACACACGATTCAGAGGCGAGGCTAAGGACCAACATAATTGATAAATTAGATGATCACACTGAATAAAGAAGAATAAGAAAAAATCATCAGTATTGTTTTGCTGTTGCTGTTAGGTACCATTGAGTCAGACTTGAACGCTGGCCTGAACTGGGCCATCTTCACAATTGATGTTACATTTGAACCCCTTGCAGCTGCCAGTGTATCAGTCAATCTACTTGTCAGGGGTAGGGGGGATCTTCCTTTCTTTTTGCTGGCTCTCCGCTTTACCAAGCATGTTGTCCTTCTCCAGGGACTGGTCCCTAATAATAACATATACAAAGTATTGCTTTAAAACAGTACAGATTAGGTCAGGTGATGGGTTATGGAAATCAGTCACTCTAAGGAAACTCAGCTGGTGGATTTGCAATAGTCTTCAGCCTTGTGATATGTAGGTGAAAGTAGTAACCTTCAGCAATTAATAGTGGAGACATTCTAGATGATTCAGGGCAACTGAAGTCTAAGTCTGTCTCAGTGGCAAATCTGTAATGTAAAATAAATTCCAATATTGTTGTCAAGTGACGTCAAGTCAGTTCTGACTCGTAGTGACCCTGTACAGAGTTTCTGAGGAGCAGCTGGCTGGTGGGTTTGAATTGCTGACCCTGTGATTAGCAGTCCAGTGCTTTTCCTACAGCACCACACCAGAACTCCAGTTACAGTCAACATTAAATGCATTTATTTCAAAAGAGAAAACACAAACAGCTCCTTTACACACACACACACATTTCCGAAAGAAAAACATGCTTTAGTGTCTGCAGCAGGCAAGGATTGCTGTTTCTGTTGCAAACTGAAATCATTTTGGTGGATGAAAACAGAAACACTCTGTTCAGAATCTTTTCTGGATATGTATCACTTTTTAATTGATTTTCCATGGTTATGCTGAGATTATTTCGGATTTTATAACTTTGAGCATCAGAAGCCAGGGTTAGTTGCTATTCCTGGTATTTTTAATCAAGGATAGAGTCTTATCTAACCCACAGGCCCTAAACTGACTGGTGATATAAAGCTTGCAAATGTGTCATGGCATGTATAGTCTTTAGAAAAAATGTTCTGTGATGCTTTCTATTAAAAAACAAATCAGAAGCACTGGCATCTGCTTGTACCACATTCTCCCTTTGCAGTGGTCTGCCCTTTCAAAGGTGCTACAGCCCCTCCACTTCTGCAGTTTGCCTGGCGTGAAGGGTGACAAATTCATTGCCATTTATCATGTCACACCCATTCTAATTCCCTGGTGTATGTGACTTGTATGACCACTGGAGGCACTTGAGGCTGCGAGCTTTGACTTCAACTAACATCCTTAATGGAAACTAATTTGATAATTTGTGAATTCTTTTCCATTAAGGAAATCGTAACTCCCACTCAACCAGCCTGTTAACCCTGTGAAATGTACATGCACACATGTACTCACACCTACACACAATGCACCTACATGTGCACACACAGAAAATATTGGTGTATTTATTTTGTAAATACATATAAGACTAAGGGTGCACTGAAGTCCTAGGTGCACTGAAGGAATTGGCAAAGAACAAGGCTCTGGGACTTCTGGAATGCAAATTGAAATCTTTTAGCAAACTGAGATAGTACTGGAAACATTCACTCATCTATGCCAAGAAATTTGGAAGACAACTATCTGGTCAACTGATTGGAAGAGATCCATTTCAAAAAGAGGTGACCCAGCAGAATGCAGAAGTCATTAGACAATATCATTAATATTACATGCCATTAAAATGTTGCTAAAGGTAATTTTATAATGACCACAACAGTACTTTGACAGGGAACTTCCAGAGGTGCAAGCTGGATTCTGATGAGGACGTGAAGGAAGGATATCATTACTGATGTCAGATGAATCTTGGCTGAAATCAGAGAATACCAGAAAAATGTTTACCTGTGTTTTATTGACTACGCAAAGGCTTTCGATTGTGTTGATCATGACAAGCTATAGACAACATTGCAGAGAATGAGTATTCTAAAACACTTGATGTGCTCATGAAAACCCGTGCATAGACCAGAAGTGGTCATTCAAACAGAACAAGGGGACACTGAATGATTTTAAATCAAGAAAGGCGTGTGCCAGGGTCATATTCTTTCACCATACTTATTTAATATGTATGCTGAACAAATAATCCAAGAAATTGGATTATATGAAGAAGAATGTGGCATCAACATTGAGAAAGACTCATTAACAACCTGCAATATGCAGATGTAACAACCTTGCTTGCTGGAAGCAAAGAGGGCTTAAAATACTTAACTGATGAAGATCAGGGACCACAGCCTTTGGTATGGATTGTACAGAAAACAAAAATCCTCACCACTGGATCAATAAATAACATTATGATAAATGGATAAAAGATTGAAGTTGTCAAAGTTCATTTTGCTTAGTTGCACTATCTACTATCATGAAAAAAGCAGTCAAGACATCAAATGATGTATTGCATTAAGCAAATCTGCTGCACAAGACCACTTTAAAGTATTTAAGAGCAATTAAAATAAAACTATCAGTTTGAGAACTAAGATGCACCTGACCCAAGGTATGATATTTTCAATCTCCTCATATGCATGTGAAAGTTGGACAATGAATAAGAAAGACCATAAAAGAATCAATCAATGCATTCGAATTTTAGGGTTGCAGAAGAATAGTAAAAGTGCCACAGACTACCAGAAGAAGCACAGACAGAATGATCTTTAGGGGCTAGAATGGCGAGACTTTGTCTGTCAGAGTATTGACATGCTATTAGGAGAAACCAGTCTTAGAAAAAGGACTCCATACTTGGTAAAATAGAGAGTCCGCAAAAGAGAGGAAGACCCCTAAGAAAGTGCATTGACACAGTGACAGCAGCAATGGGCTCAAGTGTGATGACAGTTGTGAGGATGTGCAGGACCGGACCATGTTTCCGAGTGCATAGGGTCACTATGAGTTTGGAACTCACTGACTTGATGGCACTTCACAATTAATGAGTCAGAACTGACTTGATGACACACAAGAACAGCATTCTAAGCACTTTACATTACTGACTCCTATTATCACAATAACCTTGTGAGGGCAAGTACTGTTCTCATTATCACCATTTGATTGATGGTGGTGTTTTGGGACATTGTAGAGACAATTCTGACTCATAGAAATCCCGTGTGACAAAGTGAGACTATCCCATAGGGTTTTCTTAGTTGTAATCTCTACAGAAACATATCATCAAGTCTATCTCCCACGAAGTAGCTGGTTGAGTTGGAATAGCCAACCTTTCAGTTAGTAGCAGAGCAGATACCTTTTGTATCACCAGGACACCTTCTGACCATTTTGCAGATGAGGAAATTAAGGTTCAAATAAGTAAATACCTTCTCAAAATGACACCCAGCCCATCTGGCTTCATCTGGTGGATTAGAATGCTTCGGATAATATCATGATGGGGAATGGTGAATTCCTTCCCACCTACCTGTTAACCATCCCGCTGTGTATGTTAGCTTACTTGGCTTTGTTGATGATTAAGTGAGATGGCATGTGTTGGCTGCTTGGCCCAGTGCCAGGCACAAAAGAGTTTACTATGTGTTGTTTGTTCACAACCAGAGAATAATGCCACCATCCCCGATAGAGGAAACAGAGAGGGAAGCTATGGGAGAGAAAGGCAAATGTTGGCAGTACTTCTACTACCCTTGGACTCCAGAGTGGAGCAGTGTCCGAAAAGAGAGACTTCTGTTTATTCAGTCTGTGCATCTGTCCTGTTAACCTCAGCATGTCTAAATCCTTATGTGTATGTAAGAGAGAAAGCTGAATAAAAGGGTGGGATGACTTCAGACTGAGGCTCAATGACACATACAGATGAGGATTTAGTATCATTGATTACCTAGGAGATTGCCACAGAGATAGGTGAAAGGGGACTCGCCGTTACCCATCATGTTATTATCTGTTACATTCTAATCCATAAATGATTTCTTGTGTGCCTCCTGGTAGCAGATAAGGGTTCAAAAAGCGTGTCATCTTTGTATCTCCCCTGAAATTGTGTTTCTTATAAAAAAGACCGCTATTGTTGTTGTTTAGTGCCACTAAGTTGGTTCTGACTCATAGTGTCCCTGAATAGGGTTTCTGAGGAGCAGCTGGTGGGTTTGAACTACTAGCCTTGTGGTTTGCAGTCCAGTGCTGATCCTATAGTGCCATATCAGGAGTCCTATAAAAGACTAGAGGATGAAATTTGCTTTCCTTCAGAATTGTAATTATAATAAGGCTATTGCTGAGCTAGTTGACTGATGCTCTTTTTCTCTCTATTGTCTTGAACAGGGGAGTCTTTGGAAAACAGGGTTATCAGTGCCAAGGTAAGAAATCATTTTTGAAACCGTGTTATATTTGTTTCTATGTTAAAAAATGATGATATGAAGGGAAAACAGGATATACCCCATTAATATTATGATAAACAATTGTCTTTATGTCAGTTAAGACTTCTCCATATTATTATAACTCTACTTTAGACTCCTTATTCACTGTCAAGGAGGCCTGGTAACATAGTGCGTTGCAAGCTGGGCTGCTAACCTGAACATCAGTAGTTCGAATCTACTGTAGAAGAATTATTACTTTTGAGTTATGGTGTTGGAGGAGAATATTGAAAGTGCCATGGGCAGCGAAAAGAACCAATAGATCCATTTTAGAAGAAGTGCAGCCATAGTGCTCCTTTGAGGCTAAGATGGCCAAACTTCGTCTCTCATACTTTGGACGTATTGTCAGGAGGGACCAGTCGCTGGAGACTGGTAAAGTGGGGGAACAGAGAAAGAGAGGAAGACCCCCAACAAGTTGGATTGGCCAAGTGGCAGCATCGATGGACTCAAGCGTGGCAACAGTAGTGAGGTTGGCCCAGGATCGGGCAGTGTTTTCGTTTTGCTGTGCATAAGGTCGCTATGAGTCGGTACCGACTCGATGGCACCTAACAACAACAACAACAGTTTAGGTTAAATTTTGGTTATCATTTAAGTGATATAGAGGAGGCATTTTAATTTCTAAAGCAAGATATCAAATCAAGTTCAATTCCTAGAAGTTCCTTCTGTGCAATAATATGAAAATGCTAAAAGGTAGTGCTATTTTATGGTCAGGAAGACCTGAAGATGAAGTTTTGCTTTCTACAGGTTTGTTGTCAATAGATGTGAGAAGTGACCTAATAGTGCTTTCTCAGTACTTAACTTTGTGGTTGTTACGTGCTCTTGAGTCCATACCAACTCATAATACCCCTGAATAGGGTTTCTGAGGCTTTAAATCTTTGTGGGAACAGAGAGCCTCCTCTTTACCCACGGAGAGGCTGGTTGACTCGAACCATCAACGTTGTGGTTCACAATCCAGTTTTTATTGTACAGAGCCACTGTGCTCCCATATACCTACATGTGCCATCAAACTGGTTCCAAATCATAGCGACCCTGTGTAGGGTTTTCCACAAGGAGCTGCTTGTGGGTTTGAACGCCAACCTTGTCCGCAATCCAGTGCTGATCCTACAGAGCCACACCAGAAGTCCATATACCTAAATTATTGTTGTTGTTGAGTGCCTATTTAGGAAATAAAAACTATTATCCAAGGTTCTTTTTTTATTTAAATGTAACAGGTGTTCAAAGTTAAGTTGTTCATTTCCAAGTTTCCCAACACAATTCTCATAGAACAATTCTTGCTAGTCTCAAAGAATGAATAATTTCATTGTCGTGTTGGAAAAAATTCCTTGGTCCAGCTTTCCTAGCCTTTGTCTCACCAGTGCAGTTTTCCATGTCTTAAAAGTTCTTTGTAATAAATCCCCATGATTGTCTGTTTCCTTCAAGGAAAACCTGTCATAATTGCCCCTTGGGAATTTAAAAAACACAATCTCCATTGCCTTCAGAGCTGACCTCTCAGCTTTAGATTTAACTGATCCAGCAGATTCCCTTGGAAGGCACTGTTTTAATTGGATCTTTCTTCTGAGGGTACTCATATGAGGCTAAGACAAATATATTACTGAGAGAACTTCTCTTCAGTATATCTGCTGATTGTGATCACATCTACTGATTGTGATTAATCAGCCATTGTTGATTAAATATTTAAACATATTTCATTTGGAATAAATCTATGCATGCATGAACTGGAACCTTAGTAGCAATCCTTGTTGACATATCTGTGTATGTTCTGTCTTCAACTCTTGCCTATCTTTTCCATGTAAAGATAATTTGAGAAATTCTCGATGGACAAAATTATAGTTTTGAGTTTAAACTACATCTTTTATGATATATGCACAATGTTATTTTATTTCTTCTTTTCCTTAGCATGTATTGCCAGGAGATTAAAGGGTTGATTTCCATGATGTGGTGCTGTAAAACAAACACTAGACTGCTAACTGCAAGATTGCCACTTGCTGCTCTCAGAAACCCAATATGGGGTCGCTATGAGTTGGAACGGATTCAATGACACACATCAATAACTGCCTCTGTTAAAAGAAGTAGAAAGAAAAGAAAAGGAGAAGGAAGAGGAGAGGGCAGGATGGAATATTGGTTAAGAGGCATGATGGAACTACTTTATTCACATCTTGAAAGAGATACAAAACCAAATGCCTTCATGGGGAAAGAAAGACACCACACTAATACTAAACAAGCACAAGTTGGTGTCGCTTTGTTAATTTCAGACAAAGCAAAACTCAACACAAGGAAAATTACCAGGGATAAAAGAGACATCGGTTCATTATAAATGAGCCAACTCTTCAAGAAGAACTACCAACCTTTACTGTAGATGCAACTATTCTAATAGGGCATCAAAGTACATGAAGCTAAAACTGATAGAAGTGCAAGGAGAAATAACAAATCCGTTGTTTTCCTTGGAGACTTCAACGTCTTTCCTTCAGTAATGGACAGATCAAACAGAAAATCAGTAAGAATAAAGTTGAACTGAACAGCACTATTAATCAGCTTGTTCTAATTGATGTTGTAGACAATTTCATCCAACAACAGCAGAATACACATTTTTCTTAAGCACATAAGGAACATTCACTAAATGTTCTGGGCCAGAAAGCACACCTGGACAAATTTAAAAGAATAAAAACACAAAATCTTTGTCAGACCACAGTAGAATTAAACTAGAAATCAGTAACAGGAAGGTACCTGGAAAACCTTCAAATATTTGGAGATTAAACAACACACTTCTAAATAACACATGGACCAAAGAAGACACCTTAAGAGGGATTTCATATATATATATATATATATATATATAGTTGGTTCCATCTCATAGTGCCCCTGTATAGGGTTTCCAAGGAGTGGCTGGTGAGTTTGAACCACTGACTTTGCAGTCCAGTGCTTATCCTCCAGTGCCACATAAGGACTCCAACTGTATATGGAGTGTGTACTTAATCCTAAAAAACCCTAGGTGTCATGGAAAATTGCATTGGTGACTTCAAGGTAGACTTCTCACCCTCCATGTAGAAGTCCCAGGTTGAACTGTCTGCCAGTAGACCTCATCCCAGCTACCACCACCCTCCCCCCCCGTGAGTGGAGGCTTGCATGTTACTATAATGCCAAGCAGGTTTCAGTGGAGCGTCCAGACTAAAATGAACTAAAAAAAAAAGTTCTGGCAATCTGTTTCTGAAAGCCAACCAATGAGAGTCCTGTGGATCCTGAACTAATCATGGAGATGGTTGTACATGGGGCCACCATGAGTTAGGTGCCACCTGAAGGACTGCTAGCCCCAACAACCTCTTTCTATACTACGCATCCTTCAGTGGCACACTGGACTCCTCTGTACCTATTGTGCCAGCTATTTAGGTGAAAAGCAAAAATAACAAAAGCTGTTATTCAGAAAGCTCTCAATATTCAATTGATTGAGTCATTCAGAAATCACTTGTTGAATGTGTATTCTGTTCAAGGCATCATGCTGGGAACTTTGAGGGTTTTGGGAGGCAGCTTGTAGCTGGATTGAAATGACGAGAAGAGATTGTTTCAACCTGGAAAGGAAGAAATACAATATTTTTATGGAAGAGTCTTTTTGAATTGGGGCTTGTAAATAAACATAATAAAATTTAGTTAGGCATGAAGCAAAGAGGAAAGGGCAGGATATCAGTGGTGTGAGAAGGAGGGGGGAGACTTGTTCCAGAAACAGCGACTCAGTCTAGTTTTTATTGGAATAAACAGCTCATGTAGAAGAAAGGTGACACAGAAGCTTGGAGTAACCTCTGGGTTGTCTGAAACCTGGGTGGGAATTTGAACATCATTGATTGGCTGTGAAACACCATTAAAAACTTAAGTCATGGGATTGTGGTGGTCACAATCACACTGTAGCAAGGTTTTTCTGAGAGTGGATACAGGATAGACCAGAAGGATGAAGTAAGCTCAGGACTTGATATCACATAGTTTGAACATGGGCACAGATCTGGAGTGGGATTGTGGCAAAGAACACCAGAAGGAGGGAGGGGACCGGTGGCTGCCACTGTGTGGGTCACATGTCCAGACTGAATCTTGGTGACCTGGCACAGCCCTTGTTTATTGTAACTGTAAGTCTCTGAGAAATGTTTGATGGCTGGTTTTATTTTCTAGTGTGCACCTGCGTTGTCCATAAGCGATGCCATCATCTAATTGTTACAGCCTGTACTTGCCAAAACAATATTAACAAAGTGGATTCAAAGGTAAGAGGCAAGCAGTTTGCTTCTGCACCTTCTCCCTCTCCCTTTCAGCATCTCCCACCCCACACCTTCCTTCTACCCTCTTTGGCCCTGATGATAGTCGTGGGATTGAAGTATCTCTTTTGGTATGAATGGCTTTTGTATTTCCTTGAGATGACCACGTTAATGGTCAGCTGGGCATAAACTATGTGGATCAGTTCTACTAAATTGAGAGATTTGGTATTTGAAACAGGAGCTTTGACCTCTGAAAGCCTGGATTTAAGTTCTGACTCCAGCCTCTGCTTGCTTTTTGCTCTATGTGTGTGGCTAAGAGTCACAACCTCTCATAGCCTCACGCTAAAAAAGGGACCTATACACCTTTCATGAAGCTTTGCTGAGAGTTAAACAAGACAGAAGTGATATGAAAAACATGTTAACTATAAATTGCTTTTGCTCAATAAGGAAACTGTTAGCCTTCTAAAGACTCTTAAGAAATTTCAGGGAGAATGTATACCTGTACGGAAAATCATGGTCCAAATTTTTGCCATAGTGCATTCAGCTGGAATAGGCATGCATGTAAGTTCTAGAGGTGGGAAACAGTGTTGCTGATAATGGCAGTGAATTTCCTGATTCATTGGAAAGGATGGCTGTTGGACTTAGTAGTCCTGTACCTACAGAAGGTTAAAGAATACAAATACAGATATGAACCACAACTTTTATGAGACCAGAAAAGATTTAAGATGAATAATAATTGCCCAAATCCATGCTATGTGTGGATCTGTTGCTATTGCTCTGAATTGTGGTATAGCTTGTCGAACATATGCCTAAACTTACTATTTACTGGAGGCAGTATATGAGATTAGTGCAGGGCCTTAATGCTCAGATTGTCAGAACATTCTGGCAAAGGCCACTTTGATGTCACACTGGCCTGAAGTCCTTCTTTGGTTCCATTTCCTCTGGGTATCTGTCTCTGTTTCTCTCTCTTTGCTTGTCTTTTGTCTCTCCATAGCACAGTTTCTGGGAGGACCTGTGATAATAGCCTGTTGTTGTTGTTAAGTGCTGTTGAGTCGATTCTGACCCGTAGTGACCCTGTACAGGGTTTCCAAGGAGTAACTGGCGGGTTCGAACCACCCACCTTGTGGTTTGCAGTCCAGTGCTGATCCCACTGCACCACACCAGAAGTCCGTAAAAGACTAATTTAATCCTGAAGTAACAAGGTTCTAGAAAGTAGATATGAGTCTAAGGTGGTTGACAGAAAGTTAAAGCCTGAATATAAGAGTAAATGAAAATCTTAATATTTGTTTGTCTCTCGAAGTGCTGACTGATCCTATGTTTGTGCCCAGTCTTACTGATTAGAGCATGTGCTTAATCTGGTTAGTTAGAGCTGAGTAATTAACCGTGGCTTTAGTAGAGTAAAATAATATACCCAGTGTGGAAGTCCTAGTAACAATTTGTATTTGGCGGGCGTGGGCTCCTGGTACTAGTTTTTTTAAATATTCCTATGGAATTTTAACTCTTGTCCTCTTGCTTCCTTTTTTACAGATTGCGGAACAGAGGTTTGGAATCAACATTCCACACAAGTTCAACATCCACAACTACAAAGTGCCAACATTTTGTGATCACTGTGGTTCCCTGCTCTGGGGGATAATGCGGCAAGGACTTCAGTGTAAAAGTGAGATGTTGGGGTGCTGGCTACCTACTTCTTCATGGGAATACCCTGATGCAAGTTTGGGGGGATTCTATAGGTTCAGAGTATGATCTAGACAGATGGTTTTAGATCTTTTGTATGTAAATTAATGTCTTCATAGTTTTCTCTTTGTCAGGCGTGTGCGGAGAATTAGATCTGATTTAGAGAATCCCTAACTTCACAACACTGAGGCAGATGCTACATTTAATTCCGTCCTGTCTTCCATACTTCCTCTCTCTCCCTGCCTACATTCTCACTCTCATTCACATTCATTCATTCATTTCTAAGTACACATTAGTCACTTGTGCATTTTAATGGGAAATTTAAAAGATAGAGACGGAGATCTTGATCAGGAATGGCAGCTGTAGAGGTTGAGGTGGTCCTAAGTTAGATATGTTAGGAGATTGGGTCTGATGACCTCACTAGAAACCAGCAGAAACGGAGTTGAGAGGCATCATAGAGCAGCTCCAGTTGTTCCGAAGGAGTTCTGCAATCGAGATGTAAGGAGTAGGTGGGGTGAGGGATGTTTGCAGCTTTGACTGTGGGCGTAACCTGAAGGGTAACTATGCCTATTGGGGCCCAAGTTTGGAGCTTTGCCTTAGCAAAGGGTGTGAGAGGGTGGGGGCTGATCCAGCTCCTGTCAGGGGCTGGAGAGCCTCTGGTTTTGAGTCCTCTTCCCTTGAGTGTTGCTGTAAGGATCTGGATGACATGGGATGCACTGCCCCCTGTTGAAATACAAGTGACTAAACACCTTTCATCCTGAGGCCTTAGTAGACAATCACAGGTGACGAAGAGATGGGGGAGGCAGAGTTGAAAGGGGTTCAGGGATACCTTCATTGACTGTCCGAGTTTACCAAGCCTGATTCTATAAATAAAAAAGGAAAACATGCTTGCCTTCAGGAACTACAAATTCTTCGATTCTTCCATAACACTATTTCATATTTCTCATACAACAATTGTGAGGGTGGTATCGGACCAGACAGTGTTTTGTTCTTTTGTGCATATGGTCACTATGAGTCAGAACTGACTTAACGGCACCTAACAACAGCAACAACAATAGTTACATGGCACTGGTATCCACAAGGTCGTCAGTTCAAACCCACCAACCATTTCGTGGAAACCCTATAAAGGATTGCTGAACCGACTGGATAGCACTTAACAACAACAACAACATACCAAAATCAGCAGGTGGCTCATGTCTTCCTTTTAGGGCTTTGGTTCAGCCTCTGCTTGGACTTAAAAGTGGATGATGTACCTGCCTGTGGTTTGCAGGCTGCCTCCATTCAGTCTTTGCTGATGTGCAGAACCATCTGTCATACACAAGGCTCACCTTGTGTTTTTGTCCCTGGTGACCTGAGAGTGATTGCAGTGAGCTGGCTGGTATAATTTTGGATTTTATTGTCACATGGTGGTTTTGAAAGGCCACTGTAGACTTGTGTGTCTCCATACCATCCTTCTCAAGGTAACCTGTCCTTCTCAAGGAGCCCTGTCCTTGAACTTCTTCCCAGGTTTCTATTTGATTTGGTATTCTGTTTCTTAAAGAGGGCTCCTAATTTATATACACTTAATTCCCCAAAACCTGGAATAGCACCTGCTTCCAAAGATGGATTGGCATTCCATAGACAGGGAACATGTTGCTTGATGTCTCTGCTCCAGTGCCCTTCAGCAGGACCCATGCTGGGGCACTGTGCCAGAATGTTCTTTACTGCTGCTTAAACCCCCGTCTTTCATTGTCCGGGAAAGGTGCCTTGTGCTCACTCTCCTCTTTCAACTGTTACTTACCCTGACCTTTAAAAGAGGTTTTTTTAAAGTTTGGATTTATTTTTCTCTTCCCCAATAAGCAGTTAGCACAGACTGTGAGTACTGAGAACCATAGCCCCGTGGGATACCCAACCACAACAATACTCAGAAAGAAAGCTTTATTTAGCGGGCTTTCTCTCAGAAATATTATTTCTGTCCTGTTCAGACAGCGATCTTTTATGTGGCATTTATGCTGCACTGTTGAGAGATGGAAGGAAAAGAATCAAAGCTGCCGGCACGATGCTGTGATGAACGTTCAGAGCTTTCTGTTGAGTCATGCTGGTAAATCAGCCATGACTGTTACATATGATTCAATGAATGTGTTTCTCCTGTCCAGGTGAGAAAAGTGTATTTGAAAAGTATTAATCTTCAATACGCCAGGCTTCCTGCCACTGCACAAACCAGCAAAGAATGTCAGGACCTGTTACTCTTGCTAAGTGTCATCGAATCTTAGTCGTTACTGACTCAAAGCGACTCTTACGGGTTCCCGGGAGCAGCTGGTGGGTTTGAACTGCCAACCTTGCGTATCCTACAGCACCACACCAGGACTCGTTGTTAGCATGGCTTTACTTTTGTGAGAAGATGCCATTGTTCAGCCATTGTCACTTTCTTTCAGGCTATTATAGCCCCTTTTTTGTAGTACCTGTCAATTGAGTTCCTTTCTGAAGTTGGAATTCTGTTTTTGTCTTCTCTCCAGTATGTAAAATGAATGTGCATATCCGGTGCCAAGCGAATGTGGCCCCTAACTGTGGGGTGAATGCCGTGGAGCTTGCCAAGACGCTGGCAGGGATGGGTCTCCAACCAGGAAATATCTCTCCAACCTCGGTGAGAATTTGCTTTATGTCATTATCCTGATCTTAAAGTTGTTCACATGTATATGATAGCGTGTGGCATAACCAAAGTCCCGGCAGTTTAAGCTCACCAGCTGCTCCTCGGAAGCCCTCAACAGGGTCGCTGTATGTCCGAACTGGTCGGATGACACTCAACGACAACAACAAATTCAGCAACGCAGTGAACAGATTGAGTGCAGGCACGAAATTTACCAACCCTATAATAGTATAACTTAGTCTAACTTTCGTTAATTGCTAAATTTTTGTTACTGCTGCTTCCACCACTCAAGCCTAGCCCCAACCGGCTGATGAATAGATTAGTCATATGTAGATATAAAGGTTAAGTAGTGCTAGGGTCGCTATAATAAATGGTATAAGCATCCCTTTAAGAGCATTTTGTTCCACAAATACGATTCTATGCATAATTATGTGACAAGAAATAATGAGCATGCAGATGTAGCAGGAAGCAGAAAAAGATTTAAACAATAGCATCATCTTCCTGTGAGTGTGGCGTGATGGACAATCTGGAATCTGGGGTCTGGGTCATGCTCAGGTTTGGGGGATGGTGACTATGTCTATATGTCTCTAAAGCAGTTGAACTTGAAGATCTCAGAGGTTCTCTGCAACCCTGGAGTGAGTTGAGCTGTCTTGCAGTTTTTGTTTATAGATTGTGAATTTATCTCTCAAGTTCAGCGACGGCCCGGAGTTCCTTCCTCTTGTTTCTCAGGAGTGGGTGGAGTTGTAATTGCTGTGTACACAATTGGTCTTCTGGCCTCCCTGAGTGACCTCCCCCTCCTGTGGTTCATGAGAACCCCAGCTCCCTCCCAGGTCCCTGTCCTATGGCTGCCCTCCTGACCAGTGCCTGCCGAGAGCTGGGAACTCACCATGGGTGTGCTGTGATATCTGAAAGGTATCTGTCTGGTTCAGGAAGGTTCTAGACAGAACTGAGATCTCTGGTACTTAGGAAGGAGCGTGTACTTACCATGAAGATGTCAGGACAACCACCCACATCTGCTCTTTACTGTGAAAGACCTGCTAGACCAAGGATTTGTGTTGTGACTGTGTTACTTGAGTTCAGAAAGACATTGATAAAGTCTGACATGTTGGTCTAGTTTGAGGGTAGGTAGGCAGGATGCTAATGCAGTGAGGAGGATTTCTAATTCCTGGGACAGCTATTCTTGAAGAGTGGGGATTAGGAATGTCGTATTGGGCCAGAGTTCACCAAATGCAGTGATCTGGTCCAATCTCCAAGGATGGGGAATATCACTTGTCACCTCTCATCTGGGCCAAGTATCTTTATCTTTGATATTATGTGTAATCACCTCTTATTTGACAGTACAATATAAAAAGAGAGAGAGAGACAAAGTTTTAAGTTTATCATATATGGAGGAATGGGTTAAAAAAAAAAAAAAAAAGATTGAGAAATACTGGTGTTGAGTTTTCTAGTCAGTACCAGCTGGGGGGAAGTATTTAAGTGGAGGAAGTGGAATTGGAACTGGTCAAATTTTTCTGTTCCTGAAAAATTTTTGATCCCAGACCTAGAGGAGAATTTCTGAAAACAGTTGGATTTTCAAGATGATCCACTGTCTGTGTGTTATCTCTGATTTTTGTTGTCATTGTTAATTACATAAAATGCTTGTGGTTTCACATAGTCGAACAGTTGGTTTGTCGAAAATATTGCTTTAAACTTTCCCCCAGTAGCAGCTTTTTTGTTTTGTTTTAGGTAACTGGGTCAAAAGCTGTAGACATGCTGGACTTTTGATTTGTTGTCTAGTGGTAGCTTGTCGTAGACAAGACACATTTCATGGTAGGGAGTTACAGTTGCCCCCTTGTCATTAGGCCCTTGGCGGGCCCTTGTGTAGTACGATTGGACTGGAGTGTGAGTGAAGGTGCCAACCTTCCCTCTGTGTTTGGTGAGGGGACACTAGAACTCTGTGTGCTAGTGGGTCGATGATGACAATAATGCAGCTTAAATTTATTGAAAGATTACAGACTCGATGGCTTTGTTTGCGTTTAGTCATCTACTCATAATTACACATGAGCGACTTGCTATTGTTGTTGTTAAACACCATCTAGTCTTTTCTGTACAGGATTTCTGAGGAGCAGCTAGTGAGTTTGAACCACCAACATTGTGGTTCCAGTGCTTATCCTACAGTGCCACACCAGGAGTTCTGGGACCTGCTATGTTGTTGTTGTTAAATGTCACTGAGTCAGTTCTGACTCCTAACGACTTCTGTATAGGGTTTCTAAGGAGCAGCTGGTTGGTTTGAACAGCCATTCTTGTGCTAAGCTGTTCAGTACGTATTCTATAGTGCCTCATCAGGACTCCTCTTTTTCAGAAAAAGAATCTTAGGCATGGAGAGGGTGGGTCACTTGCCAAAAGTCACAGATTTAGGTCACATAGCGATGATTTGAACTCAAGCATCTGCTTAAAAGCCTAGATTGCTGACCACCCTGTTGTTGAAGATTTGTATACAACTATGTTCATTGAGGTGTTATCTGTAAGAGTGAAAAATGGGATCCACCCTACAGACCAGGAAAATTAGTAAATAAATTATGGTATAGCAATAAAATGACTATTAAACCACTATTAGAGCTCATGTTCTTGAAGGAATCCTGAAGGGTATTTAAGGATAGGGAAAATGCGTATGACAGAAGGGTAAATTTAAAAGTATGTTATTAGAGAGGCAGGACATTATGGCGGCTAGGGTGGAGATGCAGTGAGATTCGTGCCTGCAAAACCACAGAATACCAGGCAAAGCAGATTCAGGGCAGAGTTTCAAATCTCGGAAGCACATAGATAGGAATATTTAAAAGGTTTGAAGGCTTATAGCTAGTGAAACTTGTAGCAAAAGTAAGAAATCACGTACTTTTGAATCTGCCGGGCTCAGCAGACTGGAGCTGACAACTTGGGTGAGACCAAATGGCAAGACCAAGCAGGGGAGCACACACACCACGGAAAAACGCAGTGGGAACCTTGGAGCCAAAGTGGACAATACATTTTGTTGGTTTGGCTTTGTTCTGATTTTCTTTTATTTTAGTATTTGTTCATTGGCTCCCCACTGTTTGTGCAACTCCATTCTTCTGACTAAAAGGGGTGCCTGAGCTAGTAGACACCCCCACCTGCACCACTAGTGGGTTCTTCTGCCACTCGTGCACACAGATGCTCTCAGTCCAAGAGC